AAAAACAAACTGCTAGGACTATAATCAGCCATTAGGGGTTTGGTTTATATCTTTTCTGATTTTTGTTTCTCTTTTTTGCTTTTCTTAAGACAAGATTAGAGATGTAAAAATGTAGACAACTTAAAATAGTAACTGAAAATTAAACACTAGATGCTGAGTACAAAAATTGGTATAAATATTTGCTAATTTGAAAAGCATGACAACTACTGTTAAATAAAGATACACAGATAAACTAAACTCCATGCAAAAGGCAGCTTAAGGTAGTGTCAGCTGTTTGAGCTCTGCTTTTTAGCTCTATACACTTGAGCTGTAACAGGAGTCAAATATTACAAAACACATACAAAAGCAAAAGCAGAAACATTAGGAAATAATTTTGTTTTACAATTTGTAGCATTATTGGATTTGGAGCACATTTCCATAATCCACCATAAAATATACCTGAGAGGATAAACAATTGTTTCCTTTAAATGCAAGTATACACTTTGTATTGTACTGTTATTTACTTTGTTTACATTCATGAAACTACTCAAACTGACATCATAAAAACATAATGCTGTGAAAAATACAGTTACACAGTAATTATCATTACCCTCGAGATTTAATGTTTAAATATCTACGCAAAGAAAACATTTGAGCAATAATGAAGGCAAATTTGCCTAAAGACTAAGTGAGAACGTGAAGCTACAAGTAGATAAAAAACGTTCATGTGCACCTGTAGACGGATGGAAATGGAGGGTTATCAGTCCTACAACGCAGACTTTTGATTGTATATAATTAGTTTTGTGAAGGATTCAACTCTTCCCATCTGGTTCTGGTGGCAGCACCAATGCGAGCACACCAGTATACCACCGATTCTCACCTGCGATTGGGTCCATTGCTTCTCGGTTACTGGGGGTGTAAGTGGAGCTTTGTGATGAGGAGGATGATAGTCCCCCTGTGGAACCGCTAGTAAAGTGCATATTTGTCCGTCGTGCTCTGGGACCGCCCAGTCCTCGTCCAGGGTGGAACATCCGGCGTACATGTCGAACACTGCTGGACTCATCGTAAAGAGGGACTGTTAAGGGTAAATGCTGCAATGTGACACGACGTATGGTGTCGTTCAGGACATTTAAACATATACGTAAACACAGCTTTATGTAGAGACTAGTGTGTGGGGACACAGAAAGGATATTAAATCTCTTGGTGCTCTGTGTTCAAGTGTGAGGTGAGCTGTGAAGTCATCCGTGACGTGGTTAGGGTCCCCTCCTGGCAAGGCAGCACATATTGGACAGATCTGAAATCAGAGAGCGAGAGGTTTCGGTTTACGATGAATTCTCTACTCCAGATAGTCCTTTAACAGAATCAAGTTCAGACTCACAACGGACATAAAAGATCAAAATCAATGCAGAAATCATGTTTTTTATTCCACAAATTCTTCTTCCTTGTCAAAAACTGGTGCTCTAGTTACCCACAATTCAACTCGACCAACAGTTCAGTCCTCAAGCAGATTTGAGGAGCGGGCGGTCTGGTAAACTTACATCTTAGATTACCCTAGATTTAATTAATCTTCAGCCCCAACCAACACTGAGTGACATCACTTGAGACAATTCATCACTTCACGCAGCTCCCTCCGGAGCCACGAAAGGCTTTCACATCTGCAGTAGTACTCCTATAAAGACCTATAAACAGACTGTAAGCTCAGCAGAGTCCCCTTTAAGAGTAAATGAGTGGTCATGAGTAAATGCTTAATGCACCAATATGAGCAGACTTACTAATTATTACAAGAACTGCACATGGGATAATGAGGCCATGTTAGTTAGAGAGTTAAGAATTCCTTAAAGAGGTACAGGCCCATGTCTCTATTGTGTAAGTACTACAGTAGTATCATTTAACTTTGGTTAAGAGTGATGATAATCTCTGAAATGGACATCATATTAAGGCTGCTCAATTAATCG